AGCAGCAGCAGCAGCAGCAGGAAGAGTAGTAGAACAAGAAGCCGAAATGGAAGTAGAAACTGAAGTATAAGTCGTCGTCCTTGTGCCAGTCGTGATAGTTTTGGTAGTCGTGGTAGTAGTGGTGGTAGTGGTAGTGGTAGTAGCAGCAGGAGGACGAGAAGGAGCAGGAGCAGGAAGGGAGCATGAGTGGGAGCAGGAGTTGGAGTAGGTAGGAGTAGCAAAAGTTGTAGTTTTGGCAGTTGTAGGAGGAGTAGTAGTAGGAGCAGTGCAGGCAGTCGTCGTGGGGGGCTGGGCGGTGAGATTCGCACGATTTTTGAGTCCTTTCTCCTTAGTCTTGCTGCTGTGGTTTCGACTTTTCTGCCTTTTTCATCGCCCTCTTAACCCATAGTCAGCATCATCCCTCATTGGCCATTGGCAGCAACAGTGCTTTGGATCGGCTGCATGATGGTTCGGGGACATCGAGGAACGAATTCGATACCAAAGCTCTAGTGGGTCCCGGTCCTCGTAGCGTCGTAGCCTTGTGACTAGCGTTACCCGCCCAGCATGGAGTGAGGCGCGACCCACACCAGCCGCGATTCCACAGCAGAAGGAACCTTCAGCGCACTTCCCCTGGATGCGTGCTCCGCAGTGCAAGAACGTGCGGTAGGCGCAGATGTCCCCATGTAGAGTTTCCGGCTTTCGGTCTAGGATTGCAAGCCCAGTCTGCAGAACTTCTTTGCATGTGACAGGCTCCAACAAATTGGATGATCGCAAATGTAGCAGAGGTGAGAGTTCATGTTTGGCTTAAGAAGCCTGGTCCGAAGGTTTGCAGCCTTTTAAAGACATCCCGAGCATTCAGTGCTCGCAACTGATACTCTGTCAGATCCCGTCTCATATGGGTCTGAGGTGACAAAGTTCAGATGGGGGTCCGATTTCCGAAGGTACTTGTGCCTCATGTCCGTACCGGTCGCAAGTTACGCGGTGGAGGCCCGATGTGCCATGTTGAAAGGAATACGACTTGCAAGCCGTTTCTGCCAAGGGGCAAATTGATTTACAGACGTGGGCAGTTTCCTGCATCTTTCAACATGCATGATCTGTTGAGAGTATGCCCGAAGTACTCCATGTATTGGGCATTGTGCTGGTGTTGGACTCCATGGACTCCTGAACAGCAGTTACTTAGCCACTTGCTTCGGAAGGTGCGGTCGGCGGGCAGAGTCTAGGTTTTGCCTCAGCGTTGTCCCGGGTTGACCTTTCCCAAGCCGGGGGTTGGATTTCGAGTTGTGGCTGGGTGCAGGCTGGAGTTGCAGGGGAAGCGCAGCTGTGGGGTAAGTGTCTTCGCACCATGACGAAGGCTCCGTTGAACGTGACAGCTGACCTATCTGCAGAAGCTGCGCATGAGACTCCCAAAACTAAAACAAATAAAACACTAAACGCACCGGAATCGCCAGCAAAGAAGAATTGAAAACCCTTCATTGTGGGCTGCCCCTGCGCAAATCCCACGAAAGTAGGCAGAGCAAGAGGCGGCGAAAGGCAACGCAGCAACGCATGTTTTGAACTAGTGTCGCGCGTCAACGGCAGCCGCCGCATAATGGTAGGTTCTAAGCGGCGCTAAATTGCAAGCGTGTGGGGCATCTCGCCAGGTCACTGTAGGTGACCCGTCGGGGCCTGGCGCCCAGCATGCCCGAAGTGGGCTTCGTCGTGCCATGAATATCATCATTTTCATTCTTTCCCGATCACCATTGCACCTTTAGGCTATTCTTTTTTAGCCAGGAAGAGCAGGTGTGTCAGTAGTAGTAGCAGCAGCAGCAGCACCCGGCAGTAGTAGTAGTAGTAGTAGTAGTAGTAGTAGTAGTAGTAGTAGTGCTAGTACTAGTACTAGTACTAGTACGTCGCAGCGGGAGTTGAAGTTACAGTAAGAGAAACAGTCGTCGCATCATCCAAAGATTTCTTTGCGTTTGAAGCCTTGAACAACTATGGCCCTCTTCTTGGCTTGGTATTTTTCCTATGTATTTCCGCACACATTCCTTGTTCTTGCTTTGGGATCATGTAGCAGCATTGGCGTCTGTTGTCCATCTTGATCTCCAGCGACTTAAAGGATGCAGCGGTACTTATAACAACGAAGCTGTCAGCCGATCTGATGACATGAGAGCTGGGAGAATGGTTTAAGATCAGGGTTTTCGGTTAGCGTCCAACTATTTCCAGGAGCCATACGTGCAACGGTTCATTCTGCATGAACTAGCCCGTCTGCTCCCTCGAAGGGAGACAGCCAGTTGCCTGAAGCTGGAGGACGGCAGCGAGCCAAGTGGCATGCTATCTAGGGAGTTCAGGGCTTGCATGTTGCAAGCATCTTGAGGAACTCCGGTTGTAGTGGCCAGTAGTGGCAGTGCCTTCGAGCCTGTGTGTACGGTGCGCCGGCCTGGGCCCATGGTTGACCGGTCTGTCCATGCCTGCACACAGGCTATGAGGTGAAGTGGTTCCCTGAAGCCGGAAGCCCCAGGCACTGTCGTCTACGAGGCATCGACAGCCACGGGGGATTTCGGCATCGGAACAGCCGTGGTGCACAAGCAGGCCGGCATCTCGCAGGTCTGCGTATTTCGTGAAGTTGCCGAACTTGAAGCATGACTGAGCTGGCTTGCATCCTGCACTTGTGCCGATCATTAGCTCCATCCTAGAGCCAATGCCTTCCCAGTGGGAGGCTTTGCAAGCCTCCAGAGCATTGACAGTTCGTAGCTGTAGCTCTGAGTTCTGGTCGCTCGACCCCTAGTGTAAGCGACATGCCGGCTCATCAATCTACATTGAGATGGAGTCTCGTACTACCTTTCATTTGCGGATGTTGGAGTCATGTTATGTAGCTACACGTCCCGCGTGGATTCTGGGACGGAGCACGCTCCTGATGCAGTTCGTGTAAGTTTTGCTCACAAGGCCAATTGGCCAAGCCAGGGAGCATCCCTGCTAGGAATGCTTGCAATCCTGACAGGGGAAGTGCGTCGCAGCCATACTGTAAGACTGTAAGATATAAGTAATACATCCAAGAACCTCAGAGCCTGCAAGCCCTCATCCCCGAAATCTGTGTCAGGCCGTGGACACTTGCATGACCTTGCGGGCATGTGCTGCCTCCGCAGCGGTCAACACCTGGAAGGACCTCCGTTTCGATTGGAAGATACTGGAAGCCTTGCGAAGTTGTGAGGGCTATTGCTGGGCGTCCCCTGCGGCGATGAGACAGCAAATGCCAAGACAGTCAAAGACAGTGGCAGAAGCAGAAGTTGTCCTATCAAGAGCAGTACCGACAGAAGTAGCAGCAGTACAGAAAGCCATGCTCAGCATGGTCTGATAGCGAGCAGAGTACCATCAGCCGCGACCTAGTACCGTTGTTGTTGTGGTTGTTGTGGTGCTGCTGATGGTGCTTGTGGTGGTGGGCTTGGTGGTAGCAGTTAGTAGTAGTCGTCGTCGTAGTAGTAGTCGTCGTCGTAGTAGTAGTAGTCGTGGTGGTGGTGACGGTGGTAGCAGCAGCAGCAGCAGCAGCAGCAGCAGCAGCAGCAGCAGCAGCAGCAGCAGTGGTCGTAGTAGTCGTGGTAGTCGTAGCAGTCGTAGTAGTCGTAGTCGTAGTCGTAGTCGTAGTCGTAGTCGTAGTCGTCGTCGTGGTGGTGGTGGTAGTAGTGGTGGTAGTAGTAGTAGTAGTAGCAGAA